AGTTGCTGCAGAATGAGGCATAGTGGCTTGGGAGAAAGAAAAGGATGGGATTGTTGTGTTTAGAAAAAGTTTCAAGAAGCATCTTTGGCTAGGGGATCCAAGGGTCACCTTGCTCATCCACATCCCCGGGGCATAACCCAGGGAAGGCAGCTTTGATCAAGAAGTTAAAAGTTGCAGAGACAGGTCATGGGAATGTAGGAGTTGGCTTTTGGCACAGACATCAGGCACTGGAAGTCTGGACCAAGAGAGTTTAGCTTTGAAGTGTGCACCTGGGCCGATGTGAACTTCCCACTGCAAAGGGCCGGACAAAACCAAGGCCTTGATCCTTCTTGTGCCGTATGTAGGGAGACCATAGCATCAGAGGACAGATTTAAGATACGGTGCTGAATTCTCTCCCTTAAAAAGCAAGGAAAGGAGCTGGGCATGGTGGAGCATGCCTATAATCCCAGCACTCCGGAGGCAGAGATAGGCGGATCTCTGTGAGTTTGAGGCCAGCCTGGTCCACGGAGCGAAATTGTCTCTCGAAAAAATAAAAAGAAGGGAGGGAGGGAGGAAGGAGGAGGGAGGGAGGGAGGGAGGGAGGGAGGAAGGAAGGAAGGAAGGAAGGAAGAAAGGAAGGAAGGAAGGATCTGGGAGGATGTGTTAGGAAACTTGCAAGTTCTCCATCTCTGAGGAACTTGTGTGAATCTACGAACCTACACAAGCCTTGAGCCAACTTTATTGCCCAGGAACGTGCGTCTCCAGGCCCTGGGAGATTTGCAGCATGTGTGTGAAGGGAGACCGGGTCTCTAGTCTAAGCTTCATTCGAGGGTGAGATCCTAACTCAGATGGGCACTTTCTCTGAACTGAGAGCTAGTCTCCTTTCAGAAATATAGGAGGAGCTTGTTTGTTCCTCTGATTAAGCCATTTAAGCAAACACTGATGGTCACTCCAGTTCCCAAGTGGTCTAGGATGTACTATGTATGACTCAGGGCACCATCAAGTCCTCTTACCTGAGGCTTGGGGGGGTGGAGAAGGAGGTTCATTTGTTTTGTTTAGAATTTGTTGTTTGTTTTAAACTTTGTTTATATTTTATTTTATGTGTATGAGTGTTTTGCTTACATGAATATCTGTGTACCATGTGCATGCCTGGTGTCCACAGAGGCCAGAAGAGGGCATCAGATCCCCTAGGACTAGAATTACAGATGGTTATGAACCATCATGTGGGTGATGGGAATCGAACCCAGGTCCTCTGCAAGAGTATAGGTGCTCCCAACCTCTGCACTGTTTCTCCAGTACCTGTTTGTTTCTGAATCAGGATCTCACTCTGTAACCCAGACCAGCTTGGAACTATGTAACTGGAGCTGACTTGTAAATGTTGACACTCTTCCTGCCTCAGCCTCTCAAATACTGGCATTATAAAAGGGAGCCACGATACCTGCCTTGAGATTAGTTATGATTTACTTTGGGGACTGCAGTGGGCTGTACCTAAGTGTCTGCCAGAAGGAGTTCCTCTTATCTTCATAATTTCTTCACATGTGATATACATCACACTCTGCTTTAAGGCTCCTTCGGTGATAAAGTTGTTTTCTTTCTCTGCTACCATTGGGAAGAGGTTTTTAGGGTTGGGAGAAGATTTTTATTTTAAATATATCCTCCTTGACTTGGGGTGTAGCTCAGTGGTAGAATGCCTGCCTAGCATACTTGAGGTTCTGAGCTCAATACTCAGCACCACAGAATACAATTAAAAATTGGATGATCTTCCCAATGTACATGTGCTTAAAAAAAAAAAAAAAAAAACAGGGCTGGAGAGATGGTGCAGTGGTTAAGAGCACTGGCTGCTCTTCCAGAGGACCTGGGTTCAATTCCCAACACCCACATGGCAGCTCACAGCTGTCTGCAATCCACTTGCAGGGGATCTGACACCCTCACACAGACAAATGTACACATAAGTAAATAAATAAAATATTTTTTAAAAACCAGTGAAAAATGAAGGTGGGAGCAGGTCTTGAGGAGTGAAGTCCCCAGTAGGATGTGGGGGCTTGTGGAGGAAGCAGTGGGTGGTAGGAAACGGGAGAGGAACTTCTAAGATTCCTACCTACTTCTAAGTTCCTACGGAACTTCATTCCGTTGTGAATAATAATCCGCTAAAACAGAGAGGGTAGCTATGTGTCAAACATCGTGCTCAGTGTTTGAACATGTTAACTCACCAAACTTATGCAGCAGCTCAGGTTCTTTTTCTTCGTTATTCTCTCTCTCTCTCTCTCTCTCTCTCTCTCTCTCTCTCTCTCTCTCTCTCTCTCCATGTAACCTCGTAGCACACTAAAGCAGCAGAAAACTAGACACAAGGCACTAGGGAAGCAGTTTTGAATTAAGGAATCATCTAGCAGATGTGAACAAAACTCGTCGAGAATGCTGAACAGGACCTATGAAAATGCACGTGAGAGGGCCACATCCTGCTGTCCTGAACCATGGGGAGTGCACAGAAAAGGGTGACATCAAAACACTGAAAGAAAGGGGGACTGTCACTTGACAGACACCAATCCAGAACACAGAACATATAGAGAGAAATGAGCCTGGGTGTGAAGTGGTAACCCACCAAAGACCGGGCATGCCTCAAGTTTGGAGCCTAGAAACCCCTGACTTTCCTACCAACAACCATCATACCAGCTCCAGAAAATGGATCTGTCTGGCCCTAGCCTACCCCAAACCACCATAACTTTAGCATCTAAGTTCATAAAAACCTAGACAGAGACTTGTACAGGTGACCAAGTCTGAGTCCTGGACCAGTTTTCAGTATTTACAAAGTCCCTATCAAGCATCCCTCTGAGTTCATGACTTTCCTATTCTGAGACCCAAGACCAGGAGATGGCCTGGGAAGAAAACCCAGCCTGGGATCCACTGAAAAGGGGCTCACTGTCCTTCCCCGAGAGGAGTGAATTCAGGGGACCCACCCACATCTGCTGGATCCCCGATTCTACACTGCACCCCCATAGCCTGGTGTTCTCGGGCACCCTCCCTTTTCTGCACCCCTGTGGGAGGTTGGACAAAATGCGGCATTCACTGTTTTTGGCCTCTCTCAAGCTGTCTGGTCCATGACATTTGGTGTTTTTGAAATCTTAAAGTCTTGATATTCAGGTGAGTGGGAGGGAAGCTGAGGGTGGGGGGAGAAGGGGGGGCTGGGTTGTAAGTCTGGAAATGCTGTCCTTTGGGGCTCAAGGCAGCCTGGGAACCCCTGGGGTTCTGTTGAAGGGCAGATTTCAAAAGCAGTACAGAGCAGTGACTGGGGGTGTTGGAGGACCACAGCTGGCCCAGCAGCTGGGCAGCCCTCAGACGTTCCCAGTCTCACCTTCTAGAAGCACTCATCTGGTCTCAGCCCAGAAAACCCAGTTTGGGCTGGAGAGATGGCCCAGAGGTTAAGAACACTGGCTGTTCTTTCAGAGGTCCTGAGTTCAATTCCCAGCAACCACATGGTGGCTCACAACCATCTGTAATGAAATCTGCCTCCCTCTTCTGGCATGCAGGGATACATGCAGACAGAACACTGTATACATAATAAGTAAATAAATATTAAAAAAAAAAAAAGGAAGGAAGGAAGGAAGGAAGAAAGAAAGAAAGAAAGAAAGAAAGAAAGAAAGAAAGAAAGAAAGAAAGAAAGAAAAGAAAACCCAGTCCAACCCTTCTGCAAGTTCTCCTAAAGGCCCAGAGACCTTGGGGAGTCTCCTAAGCCTTCTTAGCTCCAGCCTGGATGGTCCTGCCCTGGGGGAATTCTCTGTAAATTCAGAACAGTGGTTCTCAACCTATGAGTCACGACCCCTTTGAAGACCTTTTCACAGGGGTTGCCTAAAACCATCGGAAACAGAGATATTTACATTATGGTTCCTAACAGTAGTAAACTTGCCGTTATGAAGTAGCAACAAAAATAATTTTATGGTTGGGGGTCACCACAACATGAGGACCTGTATTTAAATAAAGGGTCGCAGCATTGAGAAAGTTGAGAACCGCTGCTCTAGAGAGTCCTCTGTCATATCTAGCTCTAAGCCTACACACACACACACACACACACACACACACACACACACACACACACACACACACACACACACACTGCCAGGGCACCTCCTTTAGTTTCTTCCACACCACAGCTAACCTAAAGGCAGAGAGCCCTTCCCCAAAGCCTGCTGGACTAGCAGGTTCAGGCTGGTCTAGGGCGGGGACTTGGGAGGAGTGTCTAGAAGTTGAGAGGGGAGGACACAGATCCATCTTTTAAAGCCTTGGAACTGGCCCTGAGGCGACGACGGTGGCCCTGGGCGGTCTTCGAATTGAGCTTTGCTTGGATCGCCTCCGAAGAGGCCAGAGGGCGCCATGGGCCGCTACCGCGTCCGCGTGGTCACTGGGGCCTGGCTCTTCTCGGGATCCCTCAACCGAGTGGGGCTGTGGCTGGTTGGGGCGCATCGGGAGGCGAAACTGGAGCTGCAGCTGAGGCCCGCGCGGGGCAAGGTTAGCGGGCTGTGTCCGGACTGGGCATGGGAGGTTGGCAAGGGACAGGAGGCTAGGGGCTGTTTCAGCACCACCGCAATGGAGTTTGGGGGAGGTGGGACCCGGGGAGTGAGGCCAATTACTGGCCTAGGCTGGTCTCCTTTCCCGGACCCTGGCCCAGGCAGCCCCTGACTCCTCCTGCAAAGAGAGGCCCAGAGCGAATGTAAATACAGGACTTGTGATCAGTCCTGAAGCTCCTCGGAGCTCCAGTGTGGTGGGAGCTCAAGGACCAGAATGAGGCAGGTGATGCTGCTGCTCCATCATCCGCTCAGATCTCTGGTCAGCGTGCTGTAGACTGGTCTCCCCCACAGAAACGGGACACCTTAGACCCACCAGACAGGTTAGGGGAGGAAGAGGGAGGGAGAGCGGGAGCGAGGGGTGCTGTTCTTGGACCGCTGCGGTAAACTGAGGCTCCACAGAGGGCGGCTCCGTCTCCCCAAAGGCTTCCCCCAATTCCTGCCACTAAGTCTGGCGAGTCTGGTCCCCACAGGAGGAGGAGTTTGACTTCGATGTTGCCGAGGACTTGGGGCCACTGCAGTTTGTGAAACTCCACAAACAGCACACAGTGGTGGACGACGCCTGGTTCTGCAACCTCATCGCGATTCAGGCGCCCGGAACAAGCGCGGAGGCAGTGTTCCCCTGCTACCGCTGGGTGCAGGGAGAGGGAGTACTAAGCCTGCCCGAGGGTACAGGTGAGCTGGCAGCGTCTCACCCTGGGGAAGCGGGCGAAGGCCTGAGGGAAAGGGGGGTGCTGGAGGTGATGGGGGACGGGGTAGGGCTAAAGAGAAAGGATGGACAGGCGCTGGGACAGTGAGGTTCCGGGGTGCAGGTGAGGAAATGGGAAGAAGTTATGAATTCTCCAGGCGTTTCCCAGAAGAAGTGATGTTGCGAATGAATTCAAGAGGGCAATCATCGATCTGGAGACCCTGTTTTCCTACATAGGAAGTAGGTCACGGAGCTGTGTACACAGAGAAGCAAAGAACAACAGGATGAGTTCTGTGATTCAGAACAAGTTAGGGCAGGGACAGGTGACAGGCTCACAGAACAGCAGCCAGGCAGCCAGGAAGGGATGACGGGCAGCTGGTTTGATCGGAGTAGTGGGGACCACCTGGCAGGAGAGGGCATGCATAAGAGCTACAAAGCTTCAAATAGTTACCATGGGAAACAAGAGAAAGGGATGAAAGGAAAGCCAGGTGGAAACACGAAACTGTGATGAGTGGATCCAATCTAAGCCAGGGGGGGGGGGGAGTCAGTACCAGGGATGGGCTCAGGAGAGTGAAACCAGGCAATGAATGTAAAGGTGAAGGTGTCCAGATGTTTAGGGTAACAGGGAGCAATAGATAGGTGTGGTGTCGGTGACCAAGACTTTGTCACCTTAATTGGGGTGATTTCCCCCCAACTTTACACGTTGATGAAATAAGGTCGGTAGGGGATTATGAGCTTAAGGAACCAGGAAACATGGCAGATATCTGGTCTGGAAGCAAGATTCGGGTTGAAGTCAGAGAAACTGTGAGCTCAGGCAAGAACCGGATGGATAGGTCAGGGGATCGGCAGTCAAGTGAGGTAAAGCCAGAGATAAGACAACGGAACCCAGCAGCAAACACAGCCTGGCTACAGAAAGAGCAGGGGCAGGAGGGACAAGAGCGTGCTCCAAACCAGACTAGAAGCGCAGCTAATTCTAACTCTCCCCAGCCCGCCTGGCAGGAGACAATGCCTTGGATGTCTTCCAGCAGCATCGAGAGAAGGAACTGAAGGAGAGACAGCAGATCTACCGGTGACCGTCCACCCACAGGCCTCCCAACTGCCCCCGCCTCCCCCCGCCCCACCCCCACCACTCATCTCAACACTCTCCCTGAAGTGCTGTCCCCAACTTCTAGCTGGGCCACCTGGAAGGAAGGCTTACCTCAGACAATAGCGGCCGACTGTAAGGATGACCTGCCTCTCAATATGAGATTCCACGAGGAGAAGAGGCTGGACTTTGAATGGACGCTGAAGGCGGGGTAAGAAAAGGGAGCCCGGGAGAGCCGAGCACCGTGGTGCCTAGTGAGGAACTAAGGCTCAGACGGTGGGCTCGTGTCTTAACACCTGTCCTAGGGTTCTGGAAATGGGTCTCAAACGTGTTTACACCCTCCTGAGAAGCTGGAGCCGTCTGGAAGACTTTGATCAGATCTTCTGGGGCCAGAAGAGTGCCTTGGCTGGTGTGTGGCTTTTCCCAGATCTCCATGACCTCCCAGGGGTCCCTTTTCATTACCATGCATGGTTCCTGCAGCTCCTTGCCGAGTTAAAATATATTACGCCTGATATTCTCACTGAGGCCTCCAAAATGACAAGCATAAAAATGGGCGGGGCATAGGCTAGTCTAAATCCCCGAGGTCCAACGTGAAGAACAGAAACATCTAGACCACCATAAATCTCCTCCTTTCTGTACCTCACCCCTACACCACAGAGAAGGTTCACCGGTGCTGGCAGGATGATGAGCTTTTTGGCTACCAGTTCCTCAACGGTGCCAACCCCATGCTGTTGAGACGCTCCGCCTCTCTGCCCTCCAGGCTGGTACTGCCCTCTGGGACAGAGGAGCTCCAAGCCCAGTTGGAGAAAGAACTCCAGGTACCTCCCTCCGCCTGGCCTTGTTTTCTCATTACCAGTGTGTAAGACCTGTTGAGGTTGGGACACCAACATCAAGTGACAGAAAAGGAGGCGCCCCTTGGTGCATGCCTTCTGCTAGAGAAAAAAAGAAATCTGAAAAATGGCAATGTCATGTAAAAGCTACAAGGAACTCCAGTATGAATGGGGGAAGAGGATGGACCCCTAGGGCACAGGCTGGGTCCAGAGACGTTAGAAGGAATCGTGATACTCTAGCTGCTGTCATTTTCCTGGATCCCAGTGATCTTGGCAGGTGAAAAGGTGACCCCTGTGCTGTGGCATGGGGCGATGCAGGAGGTCGTCTGGAAACTTGTAAAGAGCTGAGTTTGGGAAGGGTGAACTGGTCACCAGGAGGATAGTCTATGCACACTGTGTTCAGGCGCAATGGCTCAGGAGGCAACGTGGAATATTCCTCAGAGTAGGTGAGATCCTTACAGAGCAGAGGAGGGGTTGCTGAGCTGATGGGAGCCAAGAGCAGAGAGCAGACCACTGGGAATGATACAGGACAGGGGATTGGCTATCCGGACACAGAGTCAGGTTGCTAGTGCTTATGGTACAAACTGGATTGAGCAGGCCTATTCCGAACCCAGATCGGCTGCACATATCCCCACACGAGACACCTGCCCTCATCGGCATGGTTTGTGTTTTGGGGTTGTTATTTCACTTAAAGATGAGGGGAACTGGACCAACCGGATACTGTGGCTCTGCCAATAGGACTCTGGGATTGATGGACGACAATGACAAGAAACTGAAAGCCATGTCTGTAAATGTCTTCCCTTTGTCCTGGCCCCTCTGTGTGAACTTTGACCTCTAAAAACGGATGCATCCCTTTCTCCAGAATGGTTCCCTGTTTGAAGTTGACTTTATTCTGCTGGATGGGATTCCAGCCAACGTGATCCGAGGAGAGCAGCAGTACCTGGCTGCCCCTCTTGTCATGCTGAGGATGGACCCCAGTGGGAAGCTGCTACCCATGGCTATCCAGGTAAGTCTCCCTATGTATCTCCTTCCTAACACTGTTCTCTGTCCCTTAGACCTCTGCACCCAGAGCCCCAGTGTCTAGGCGTGGCTCCCAGGCCCTCTCCTGAGAGCTACCCTCACTGCACAGCCTAGTTCCCCCAGCTCACCCAGATGGAAGTGCTTGTTCATGAGTCACAGAAGCAGCTGGAGGTGGTGGTGCATACCTATAATCCCAGTACTCTGGAGGCAGAAGGATCCTGAGTTCAAGACTACCCAAGGATACATGACAAGTTTTGGACCAGCCTGACCTACATATTAAGATCTTCAAACAAACAAACAATCCTCACCTATTATCAGCAATTTTCAAATACTAGTGTGCTTCTGAATCAGCTCTCGTACTTGGTGGGTGTAGCTCCGTGCACAGCACTTACCGAGCATGCACAAGGTCCTGCATGGGGCAGTCGGGGGTGAGGAAATGTATTAAGTCCCACCCCCAGACTTTCTGGTTCAGTGGATCTAAGAAAGTACTTTCTGGGTTGGGAATTTAGCTCAGTGGTAGAGCGCTTGCCTAGCAAGTGTAAAGCCCTGGGTTTGGTCCTCAACTCTGGGGAAAAAAAAAAAAAACAGAAAGTACTTTCCTTACAAGTTCCAAATTAATGCTGAGATTAAGTAGCTGAGGACCACACTGAGAGCAATATTTAACCTCTCAGTGTCCTTGCTTCTAGAAATCCATTGCTGACTAATTCTTTTCACCCACACTCACATCAGTCATTGACGAGCACTGTCCACAATCTTACACATGGTCATTGTCCTGCTTTTGGTGTTCTCTGAGACAGAGTTTCACTACTTAGTTGGCTGACTTGGAATTTACCATGTAAACCAGACTGGCCTTGAAACCACAGAGATCCTCCTGCCTCTGCTCCCTGAGTAATTAAAGAGGGAAACCACCACACCTGGCTCACATCCAAGCCGCTATTGCTCTCCATTTCACCACCTGATCTCTGAGCCCCACCACATTTTTGCTGGACCCCCATCACTCAGCCTGCATTCAGCCTGCCCAGTGTGGCATTCTAGCGAGGAAAGCAGAGGGACAGGTGTCTCATTCCTTCTGCCTGAGTGTAAGCTGCTAGAAGGAAACAGTTTGCTTAGTCATGGAATCCCCCAAGAACTGTCACCATGTCACAGAGGGGAAGTTCCATGAATACTCAATTTCGATTTCTCCCAGATTCAGCCTCCCAGTTCCAGCTCCCCAGCTCCAACATTGTTCCTGCCCTCAGATCCTCCTCTTGCCTGGCTCTTGGCTAAGATCTGGGTCCGAAGTTCAGATTTCCAACTGCAGGAGCTCCAGTTCCATTTGCTGAACACTCATCTGGTGGCTGAGGTCATCGCTGTTGCCACCATGAGGTGCCTCCCAGGACTGCACCCTATCTTCAAGGTACACACTCTGCCCTCTGTCCCATCTCCCTTAGAACCCAATGAGATGTTTTGAGACAAAGTCTCGAACTAGACCTGGAGCTCACCATTTTGGCTAGAGTAGCTGGCCAGCAAGTCCCTGGAATCTACCTGTCTCCACCCTCCACAACTCAAAGGAGGTAGATACAACAGCAAAAATCTTCATAGCAATCTCTGAGTGAAAATCGGGGGACAGAAACTACCGACTCTTTGGAACTTATTTTAATCAAGCTGAGTCATTTAAGACCTCTTCAGGACCATTATGAGGGAGAGCTCTGAAATTCTCAGAACATCTGACAGTGTCACGGTGGGCTTACAATACAGTTGAGACACTGTCACTTAGGAGTGGAGGGAGCATTACTCCCACCTCAGAAGACAAATGGCTAAGAACCAACTGGGGGCGGGGGAGATGGCCAGTGGATAAAATGCTCACCGCTCAAGCGTGAGGCCCCGAGTTTGGGTCCCTGGCACCCACGCAAAATCCAAGCACAGTGGCTCATCTGTAGCCCCAGCAGCGTGATGGTGAGGGGACAGAGGGAACCAACTTCCAAAAATTGTCCTCTGACCTCCACATGGGCACCATGACACACGCGTGCCCATACACACTTACTCATGTGCAAAAAAATAATGTAATAAAAATAAAAAGATTTGAAAAACCTTCATAACATTTCACATATAGAGAATATCCCAGACATCCCAAAACTGGTGCAAGCGTATAAAAGGGGGTGACTGTCAGGGCTAGTTTCAGGGCAAAATGAGGTGTCTGTTTTAGCTGCATGGTATGTAAAGCGTTGTTGGGGTATTCAAGTGAGGAATATGGTAAGGAGAACAATTAAATCCCTCCAGCTGGGTGCTTCCGTTTGACTGCCCAAGCCTGGCCAATATAGCTGGGACCCTTTGAAATTACCCCTTTGGGTAACACAGGCTGATTAATAGTACCCTGGGTTTCATTTACCCCACGATGCCACCTGCATCTTCTACTCACTGTGTATAGTTAAAGTCTATATATACTCACACTTGAAATTTTCTTTTCTGGCTCAGCCTCCTCCTGTCTCCATCCACCCTAACAACTCCATCACAGGACACACCCAAGGGCTAAATGGGCCGATGTCCCAAGGGCTACCTTACTGTGCAGAATCTGGACTTGGATGGTCAGGGTCTAAATCCTAAATCTTACCTGATTTTTTCCAAATGTCCACTTTTTTTGTTTTGTTTTGCTTTTGAGACAGGGGTCTCATCCAACCAAGGCTGGCCTCAAACTCTAACTAAAGACATCCTTGAACTTCTCTGATCCTCCTTCATCCACCTCCCACATGCTTGGATCAGAGGCATGCACCACCACACCCAGTTTATGGAGCTCTGGAAACTGAACCTGGAGGCTTTGTACATGATACCCAAGCATTTTGCCACCCAAGATACATCTCCAGCCCAGATGTGCACATTTTAAAATTATGATGGGAGGTCTCTGTTAGGACTGTTAAAGGATGCACGACATAAACTGTAATATGATGCACACGAAATGCTATCTAATAAGTTCTTGCAATTGTTCTTCAGAGTTGTTTCCAGGCATCTTTTCTTCTCATATGACTTGGGGCTTTCTATGACATTCAGAATCTTGTGTGGTTTTTCCGAAAAAAAAAATCTCAGACTCATGTGAGCTGCTTTGATATCTCAAGATCAAAGAGGTCAGTTAGCACTTCCTGTGTTTGGCATAAGCAATTCGGATAAACACCAAAATTAGACAAAATATGAATATGTACTGTGTAAAAAAAAAAAAAAAGAAGAAGACAAAAGGAAAGTATGAGAATGAGGTGGATTTTTATACCAGGGAAGGAAAAGGAGAGAGCAATACCATCAAGGCTGGGGGACAGATTAGATGCTGACACCTCTCTGTGTAAACAGATAGCTCCATATGCCCTCCCCCACAAGCCAGTCCCGAAGAAACCCAATTGGCAAGTAACCAAAGAATGGAGGGGCACTCAAGGAACATGCAGGCTAATTTAAGCTATGAGGATATAAACGATAGAATATAAGAAAATCAAAAGGCACTGAGAGCCCCTAAAAGACACCCACACTCAAGGTGGAAGTAAAGAGAATGATTGGGGGATCCTTTATGTAGACACTTCACCTACGGAGGCACACACACATCACTACAGCTCCCTCAGATAAGAGCCTATTATTGCCCCCTGTTGGCAGGTGGGGATATTGCACATTGAATAGTAATTAACTTGGTTAAGTATCAGAGTGCTAAGGTGTGGGTTGAAATCCCAGTCACCACGGCTCTACAGAACAAGTGCTGAGGAATTTAGAAAGTGTGATGAGTGACCAGAGAACTAAGGGTCCAGCCCGTCAAGGAAGCAGCAGAGCGAAAGCATCAAGAGGGCAGTAGGACATTGGTGTCAGGTCCTACAAGGCAGGTCTCAAGTACAGCCCCCTTCAATCTCCACCCCAGCTCCTAGTTCCCCACATCCGTTACACTATGGAAATCAACACACGAAGCCGGACCCAGCTCATCTCAGATGGGGGAATATTTGATCAGGTAAGGGGGGGGGAGTATGGTGCTACCCAATCTCCCAGCTTCCATTGACAGTCTGAACACTTGGGGGTGCCAGGCCAACTTCCATGGAAATCTTAAGCCTTAACCTATGAGTCCTGTTCATTCATATACATGACTTAAAATCTGACAACTCCATGCCTGGGCACCATATAGCCCAGGTGGTTCTCTAACCCTGCTTCCATCCATCAAGACCTGTCAACTTTCTCGTCCCAGGTAGTGAGCACAGGAGGAGGGGGCCACGTTCAGCTGCTCAATCGGGCAATGGCCCAGCTGACTTACTGCTCCCTCTGTCCTCCTGACGACCTGGCTGACCGAGGCCTGCTGAGACTCCCAAGTGCTCTCTATGCTCAGGATGCTTTGCAGCTCTGGGAAGTCACTGCCAGGTGAGTGAGAGGGAATGGGTGAGCTCTGGCTTGGGGCAGGAAGTCTCTCCCCAGAGAGAGAGATAAGGAACAGGTGGAGTTGGTTGTCAGGTTTAAAAACAAAGAGACTAGACGAGGACAGCTGTTGGAGCGGAGGCTGGGGGATCTGGAAGAGCCAGGGCTTTGTCAGGAGTGACTAGCAGTCATGTGTAGATGTGTAGAATGACTAACATCTCTTTTCCTTACATGAATGTCCCCGAGCCCTGGGGTGTAACTCAACCACAGGACGCTCGCTTAGCATGAGCAAAGCCTTCATTTTGATCCCTAATGCTGCAATAAATTAATTTCAAAACACAAATCTGGTAGGATCCAACCCAGGCAGAGTGAGAGCCAGATGAGAGGTGACCCCGGAAAAGAGGTGAGAGGATGGAGCGTCTGCTCTCGGCTCAGTTTCCTTCTCTGGGCAGGTACGTGGAAGGGATGGTCCACCTCTTCTACCAGAGTGACGACATTGTGAGGGGAGACCCAGAGCTGCAGGCCTGGTGTCGGGAGATCACTGAGGTGGGGCTGTGCCATGCCCAGGACAGAGGTAAGATCTGCCCCAGAGACAAGCGTCCCTCCCCAGACCTCAGGAACAGAACTCCCTAATCACACCCGCCCCTCCATTCATGAAAGCATCCTCCATGCCTCCAAATATCCAGAACCATCCTATATACCCAGGTTGCCCTCCTCAGGAGGCCCTGACCATCATACTCAGGTCCTCAGTCATGTCTTAACTTGCCAGAGCATAGGATTCAGCGATCGCAGAACCACAACGAGTTCTGCCCAGTCCCTGCTGGGGTTTGTGGAGTTCTGTGCTCATGGTTCCCTATTTCTCTACCTGGAGACATAAATGGGGAAAATTTCCCACCAAAGCCCATCCTGTCCCACCGTGCCTGCTACGGTCCACACACAGAGGGTTCTGGCATGCTGCACATTTGCCAGACTGCAATGTCATTTCTACACCTCAACACTATCTGCACGATATGGCTCAAATCTGAACCCAGTGTCCCGACCCCTGGGGCTTTGGTTAACCTGGTTCTCACTACCCAGCTCCCCCACCACCAGTCAGGGTACAGCCACTACTTCCGGTCAGCTTCCACCCTCCTCCCTTAACTCCAGAAAAAACTAGCCTTTCCTGGGCTATCTAAACACAACGCCTCCTCCTCTCCAGCTTTGAGGTTTCTTTCCGTCACTGCCCCTCTGACTTCCACCACCTTGCGTCCCATCCACTGCTTCTTTATGGCACAGTGGAGCCACCATGGCCAGACCCTGCAATGCAGCAAAGCCCTGTATCCTGGAGAGAGCCTCTCACTGAGGAGGCGAGGGTTCCCCACCTCCACTCCGGCAGGACCGAGCTTCTCCAGTGTTTCTCGGTCCTGACCTTGTGGCTTCATGAGTCCAGAAAGACCTTCTTCTCCCAGGCTTCTCCTCAAGCAGTATCTACATCTTGAAATTTACAACAAATATTCAGTGTCTTAGTTTGTTTGGATCGAAATAATGAGACAGACAGTGTGGCTTAAATATCAAACGTTTATTTCTCACCATTCTGGAGGCTGAAGGTCTGAGGCAGAGTGCCTGCGTGTTTGGGTTCTGGTGGGCACTCTTCCGGGTGACCCAAGTGACTTCCATGGCACCACATGGCAGAGAGAGAACAAACTAGATGTCTGTCCTGTCTCATAAGGACACTGCCATCTCTCATGAGAGCTCCAACCTCATGACCTTATAAACTTCCAGGGACTCCTGTGTTCAAATACCATCACACTGGCAAATAATTTCAGAGTATTAAGTTGGGGGTAGAAACACAAGCATTCATTCCATACCATAAATATTACTTGAACCTCCACAAACAGCTTCTCAGCCCCTCTTCTCTCTATTCTTTCAACTCACAGAGCTCACTTTTGCCTAACTTTCCTGCTGCACTTAGAGGAAGTATGCTAAAATTAAAATGGGTAATAGAATAGCAGTCAGGAACCCGAGTTCAAAGTCAGCTTCTGTTTTTTCCCCACTGGGTAATCTTGACAAGCATTTACTCTCGCTGGTCTTTGATTTTCTTACCTGGAAAACAGGTGTGATTATCTATGCGCCAGCTCAAACTCAAAGCTCCCACACGTACTGTAAAAAAAAACTGGCATGAGGCAAATCAGGATTTGTTGTTTGGAGACAGGGTCATTTGGCCTAGCGGGGCCTCAAACTTACTACATAGTGAAAGCTGGCCTTGAACTTATGCTCTTCCCGCCTCAGCCTCCTAAGTGCTGGGGTTACAGGCATGTGCCACCAGGCCCAGCTCAGGACTTCTCTTATTCTCCATATAATTCTCTATAATTCCCTGTCTAGAAATAGGAAGAAGCATCATTAATTCTTTTTTGTTTGTTTGTTTGTTTTTTGTTGTTTATCAAGACAGGTTTTCTCTGTGTAGTTTTTGATTCCTGTCCTGGATCTTGCTCTGTAGACCAGGCTGGCCTCAAACACACAGAGTGCTGGGATTAAAGGCATGTGCCACCACTGCCTGAAACATTATTAATTCTTAATCAACTAGGGATAACTGATTGCCCAGCCCCTAATCCTTCCACAATAAGAGTATCTAATATTTGCTGAGCACTATTTAAAAACAGATGATTTTGATGCTTTTTTTTTTTTTTTTTTT